ATGAGAGGAGAGAGAGTATGAGGTTTTGCTACGGTGTGAATGCTACCATGGTACACCGGTGCATCGAAAGGTTATGAACCGTTGGATCGCGGATGAGCTGATCCTTCAGCTATGATTGACTTGATCTACAAGTTGATCGAACGGTCCGGATGGGCTGATTTTTGATCTTGTGTAGCGCAGTGCATTGAGAGCTTGGTATACCAGGTAACGTGGCACAACAGGATTGAAGAACATATTATTTTAAGGGCTGAGATGGATTTGGGTTTTAATCCAGTGTGTTAAGCCCTATTATTAAAAAAAAATTAAATCAATATCTGCATGAAGAAAAAGTAAAAAAAAAACTGAATAGTAACCAAAATCTATACTCTCTTTTCTTTTCTTTTCTTTATTTTCCCTGTCCTCTCCCTTCTTCACTCCTCTGACGGATTTTCACTGGCTTTTTATAACCAATAATGAGGGGATATGAAAATCTCATGACAGTGGCACGATCTGCTTTAAAGAAAAATTTCATTACTACAACTGCCCTGCCTACCATCGACATAATTGCTCCGCCTACTACGACAAAAATTTTGTATTATTTATTTTGTTTTATTATATAAACAATAAATATTTATAGAGGTAAAACTAAAAACTCAAATCAGTATTAGAAAAGCTCCTTTCAACCGCTAAAAATCAATTTTAATTACCGAAAATTATGTTGAAACACTAAAAAAAAACTTTCAATGAGTATCAACCTGGTGGACCGAGTTTTGACCAAAAATAATAGTTTTGACCCAAAATGGCCTAAAACTCATTTTTTATCCCGTTTGATATGGTTGGACCCGCATTAACTCGGTGGACTCGGTTTTGATTGAAAATGACGGTTTTGTCCCGAAACAGCCCAAAAACTCATTTTTTTACCCTAATCGACATGGTTTGACCCATATTAGCCTGGTGGACTCAATTTTAACTAAAAATGATGGTTTTGACCCAAAATAGCCCGATGGTCTAACCCATATTGACCTGATAGACTCGGTTTTGACCCGAAACGGCCTAAAAACTCATCCTGATAGACTCGGTTTTGACCCGAAACGGTCTGAAAACTCATTTTTTATCCTGGTCAACATGGTTTGACCTGTATTGACATGGTGGACTCGGTTTTGACCTGAAATGGCCCGAAACTCATGTTTTGCCTTGGTCGACATGGTTTGAACCGTATTGATTCGGTGAACAAGGTTTTGACTGAAAATACGGTTTTTACCTGAAAAGACCTAAAAACTCATTTTTTAGCCTGGTCAACATGCTTTGACTAGTATTGACCCGATAGAATTGTTTTTTATGGAAAGATACGGTTGACCCAAGAAAAATATATTTTTAAATTTTAAACATTTTCTTAATTTTTTTGGATTTTTTATGAATAATAAAATAAAATAACATTAGAAAAAATCTTGATGAAATTGGATTACAATAACTGTCATCCACCACCATAAATGGCATGGCTGACTTTGGGTCATCTGTGTCACATATAACCCCTAATTGCCATCCACCACCATGGCATGGCTAACTTTGAGTCATTTGTGTCACATTTCCAACAATTATAACACATTATGCACACTTTAACTATAAATGGGTCTCTTATTATTCATTAGGTTTTCATTTGGCCTAAGAAATTACTTTTGAAATGTTGTTAAAAGGCTCGATCTGTACCTTAGCACCTACTCTTTCATCTAAAAAATCCATGGGCGGTATATTTTTTAGTAAATCTCTAGATCAATTAGTTATTTCAGTGTGTAATTGTTTGCATCTTTCACTTTCATACGGGTAAAAATTGTTATTTGTGATGGGTTTTTTTTCTTAGTATTTATACTAATTTTTTATTTCTTATTTACAGGAAGAATTAAAAAGAGGAGATGTTTCCAAATCAATTCAATATTATATGTATGAACCTAAATATCTTCATTAGAAGGAGCTCGTGAATATATATAAAATTTAATTAGCAATGCATGGAAACGAATAAATGAATATCAATTTGCTAATCCCATTAGGAACGCTGCTTTAATGTCACAATGCATGTACCAATATGGAGATGGGCATGGTATTGTATATCTCGAGACCAAGAATCTAGCCAATAGAAACCCCTTAGGTCACTTTCATGAGAATTGACAGCTTCATTTCATGACATAAGAAATTATTTAATAAAAGCTAGTGTGGGTTAAGGGGCATGGATAGTTTGCTCATTATTATTTAGGATGTGCAAATTATTAAAACAACTAAAATAAAATAGTTAGAGTTGATTTTACAAGTTTTTTGGGTTTTTTATTGCCCTTTAGGTTTTTTTTTTTATTATCTTTTAGTTTTTTTTAATCAATTTTATCCTTTATGAGTTTTTAACATAATTTTATCCTTTAATGCTTTTACCTCTCATTTTTTTTGGTATTTTTTTATTTTCATCATTTAATATGAATTTTTTTTTAAAAAATGTTGAGTTGATGTTATATCATGTTTTATATTTTTTTTATCATATAATAAAATAAAAAATTAATTTGACTTACTAGATTTCATGACTGGATAATGAATTTGACATGTCGATTAGAATTAATTGAATTTTTTTTTTTTTACTTTTAACCTATTTAGTTAACAAAACTTTCAAATAATTTAATTTAAAATTTAGATTAAACAATAGCTCAATTCATGAGCTTTTAAGTTGAACAATTCTATTAAATTTAATTATATTACCAAAAGATTTCCATAATCTAGACAATTTTTTTTTACATTCTTTTATATATATATATGATCCACATAAAAAGCTCGTTTATCAACATACTACATTGGGTAGATTTTTCGGCTGACAGTGCTGTAAGAATTTTAACATGGAACCTTTGACGTCGACGTTTGGTAAGGCTAGATGATCCATCTATAAATATTGCCATGTAATCGTCATTTCCATCCTCAACTCAAAAATTCCAAGTAGTCCAAAACACTTAGGAATGGCTCTTACCCACTTTGCTTCATCATTTTGTACTCTCCCAACATTAGCATCTCCAAGTCCGGTCTTAGTGAATTACCGCTCTCTACCTACCAAAGTTCGATGCATGGTTGCCACCGAACCTGCTGGTCAAATTGTTTGGCGGTCGGCAAATTATCAAACTTCCATATGGGAGTATGATTTTGTTCAGTCACTGACTAGTAAATATATAGTTGCTAGCTATTATAATGTCATCTTATGTTATTGTTCAAACAACTTGAGTTGAGTACTTGAATTTGATGTTGTTTAGGGAGAGCCATATACAGTGCGAAGCGAAAAGTTGAAGGCAAACATAAGGATGATACTGGCGAACGCATAGAAACCCTTGGATCAACTTGAGCTAATCGATGCCTTGCAAAGACTTGGGTTATCCTACCATTTTGTTGATGAAATAAAGAGCACGTTGAAGAGTTTATTCTATAAAAATCATATAGAGAATACAAAGACAGTACATGACTTGTATGCTACTGCTCTAGAATTTCGACTCCTAAGGCAGCATGGATACAAGGAACCTCATGGTAAGTCTCTTAAGCAATGTAGATATTGATGGTTATATGCGTTCTCATGACTAATTGTGTTCTCCATTTGTAGCGGTTTTCAATTATTTCAAGGACGAACAAGGAAACTTTAGGGTATGGATTCATGACGATTTGAAGGGAATGCTATTTCTGTATGAAGCTTCATACTTCTTGGTAGAAGGCGAGAGCATCTTGGAGGATGCAAGAGACTTCACCACCAAAAATCTTGAAAAATATGTCGAGAAGTGCAACCCTTCCGAATATCTTTCAAAGACGGTGAGCCATGCCTTAGAGCTTCCATTGGCTTGGAGGGTGCTAAGATTGGAGTCCAATTGGTTCATCAACGTGTATGAAACTAAAACTGATATGGAACCTATGTTCTTAGAACTAGCTAAATTGGATTTCAACATGGTACAAGCAATACACCAAGAAGATCTGAAACATTCATCTAGGTACGTATAATTAATAAGATACTTTATTTATTCATTTATTTTGTACAATTTGGAAGCAAATTAAACAGCATATAAAAATTAATATTATTTCATTAAATTGTATGTAATAATTTAAACTTTTTTAGATTTGATGATCCTCCTATATCACTAATTTATCTAAGTTTTGAACCAATATTATAAATTTTAATCAAGTTTACTTTATATAGCTTTTCTCTGATGGCGACAGTCTAGTTTCTTAACATGAACAGGTGATGGAAGAGGACAGGACTTGGAGAAAAGTTGGATTTTGCCAGGGACAGGTCGGTGGAGAATTTCTTATGGACCGTAGGGGTCATATTTGTGCCTCAGTTTGGTAATTGCAGGAGATTGCTAGCAAAACTTATTTCACTTATAGCAACAATTGATGATGTTTATGATGTCTATGGTACCTTAGATGAGCTTGAGCTATTCACAGATGCCATTGTAAGTTTTGTGCAGCGCCTATGTCTCGAGCTCTCGAGCGCATTTACAATGCTATATTAGAATTGCTCCCTTGTTTTTTTTTTTAAAGAAAAAAGAACTTAACTAAAATATTTTTATTTTTAGATGAGATCTTAATTTCATGGATCGGCTTCTAGACCATATGAAATTATGTTTTTTTCGCATTGTACAATTAAGTTAACAAAATGGCTTACGATATTTTTAAATATCAAGGAATTGACATCCTTCTTTACTTGAAGAAAATGGTAATTACTCATTTTTAAATTTTGATGTTATTTCCGTAGTTGTCAAACATTTATCATTAATCAACCATTGTGTTACTTGAATTTTTTAGGTTAATGTATAAAATATTTTAAAATAAAATCTAATTTTAGTAGATTTCGAGTCATTAAGTCAACAAGCAAGGTTGAGCTAGGTTTAATAAAACTACTTAAAAAAATTCAATTCAAGTTAGATTCTGAATCATTACATCAACTCGTTGGAAGGGGCTAGATTTGGTAACTACATTATTTTTAAAATATGCTCTCTCCAGTTTTGCCTCGTTACCTTTTGGGAATACAAGACTATGGTTAATTTTCAGTGGGCAGACTTACGTAAATCATATTTATTGGAGGCTAAGTGGTACTTCCAGTGGATATACACCAACTCTTCAAGAATACATGGATAATGCATGGATTTCAATTTCAGCGCCAGTGATTCTAGTTCATGCATATTTTTATGTTTCCAATCCAACAACAGAGGAGGCGTCACAATTCATGGAGGAATACCCATATATAATTGGATGGTCATCCATGATTTTTCGCCTTGCTGATGATCTTGGAACCTCCTCGGTATGCTAGACTTCTGCCTCTCCTTGACATAGTTTCGTCCTTCCCCTTTTTTTCTCATTTTTTATGGTAAATTATATTAGTCCTTGCTATATATTCAGTGTGGTAACGGTTCTGTTCCTAAGCAGAGGCCACGGATCCTCTTTCTCTAGGCATAGGCCTCAAACTGGCCCAAGTAATGGAATGAATCTTGAAACATATAATGCATTAGTTTAACTATAAATGGGCCATTTCTTACTTATTAAGTTTTCATTCGGCCCAAGAAAGTACTTTTAACTTGTTGGTAAAGGCCCGATCTCCAACATGGTATCTCCTCTTTCATCTTAAAATCCATTCACACTAAAGCTGGACGGTGTATTTTTTTAGTAAATTTCTAGATCAATTAATTTATCTCAGTTTGTAAATATATAAATATTTCATTTTCATTTTGGTAAAGATTGTTATTTGTGATGGTTTTTCTTAAGTGTGTATGTATATATATATATATATGCTAATTTTTTATTTTTTTATTTAAAAGATGAATTAAAACGAAGAGATATTTTTAAATTAATTCAATATTATATGCATGAAGCCAGAGTATCCAAAGAAAAAGCTCATGATCATATAAGAAATTTAATTGGAAATACATGATAGAAAATAAATGGTTATCAATTTGCTAATCTTCATATCTCTCAAATTTTCATTGAAATTACAATATACCTTGCTGGAATGGCACAATGTATATACCAATATGGAGATGGATATGGTGGTGGACATCTTGAGACCAATGATAAGGTGAAATCCTTACTTATTAAGCTCTTATAATTTTATCAAAATAAAATACTAGTTTGATAGAAAAAAAAATTTATGAGATTGATTTATATGTCTTATTAGACTAAGTCGTAGAAACATGTGTTTTCATTCTAGCTTAAATATTAGTATGTAATAACGGACTATATATCTCTTCTTTATTTAGAAGATTAGTCAAATATAGCTGATTCTATCATAGATATCAATATGTTATTAAGATCTAGATATTACCTTGTTCTTCATTTAAATTAGTCTCATGTGTCAAAAAAAAATATAATTCTTTACAAGTATTCTTAATATGATATTAGAATAGAGAATATACTCTGCAAACATCCTAGAATCATTCTATATATAGAGTTTGTTTTCTTCTTCATTCCTACCAATGGAACTCACTGACCCACAAGAAACCATATAAGACTTTACCATTTTGATTGCCTAAATTTTATACTGAATACAAATCCAAACCCAAACTCATGAATATTTTGCTGCCTAGATTGATATCAAATTAAATGGTATCAAATATGCCATATAAATCTAGATTATTAAGATGTATATCTCTTAATAAGATAAACTAGGATATATCAATTGAAACTTTTTTTTCAAATAAAATTAATAGACCTAATAACAAAAAGTGGAAGAGTTAAAACTATGATGTCAAAGGCTAGCTAATTAATTTAATGGAATCAATTTTAGTTGGAAATTTCATCACAAGGTTCCGATACCATATTAAAAAACAAATGGAATCAATTTTAGTTGGAAATTTCATTATAAGGTTCTGATATCATATTAAAAAACAATCTCAATCCAATAACTTAAACTATTAGATAAAATCTCAAGATATAATTTATATTATCCTCTAACATTTCCTTAAGTGAAAGCTCTTTAGGTTTTTTAACACATTCCATCAAGTGAAAGCTCTTTTAGTTCAAAACTTACAAAAACCCACATTACTTTTCAAATCCAAAAATCATTACGTCATAAATTCAAATATGAAATGATTTCTAAGATTCTTTGTAAGATTTATTTATAAAACAAAAGCAACGGTATTCAATGTTTTCTCCTTTTTCTTTTCTCTGACATTTTTGTTGATATGGTCGTTATCAATAAGATGGACCACGAGTTAAAACTTTATCACATAAACGAATTGAACCGATTTACTTCTTGTTCCTAATTAAACATGCGTATTGCAGACAACCTAACCGAAGAAAATAAAGTAGAGCAGACCCATGATATCTATAAAATAATTAAATAAAATAAAAAATCCAACGGTATGTTTTAAGAGATCTAATGGAATGGTCCATTATATTTCTGTGTTTTTTTTTGTGTAATTTCTAAAAAATAAACCTATAATGAAATATTGTAAGGTAATGATTCATTATATTACAAGCATTATATCAGGGGGGGGAATATATGTAATAAACCATTACATGGTTACGAGTAATTGTGCAGAGATCTAATTACTGAAGATACCAGACTGACTAAACCATTACTAGATGATATCAACCGTTGAAATCACTTTCATGATAAGGTAGAATTGACAGCTTCATTTTTAGGACATGAGAAAAGATTTCTAAGATTTCATTGCCTACGCCTTTTATTTTCTTTTCTTTTTTAAGATTCTGTTTTACAACTTAAATTACAAGTCACTTTCACGATTTTAATGTAGAATTGACAACTTTAGAACATAAGAAATGATTTTGTTTTTTTCTTTGGCTTTTTCTGAAATTACTTTTGTTTTATAATTAAAAAATCATGAAAACAACAAAAAAGAACAAGCAATTTAAAAAATGTGTCTATGTTTTCTTTCGACGTGTTATTCTACAGAAAAGTATTTGTATACAAAATTTAGTGAATGGTTCCATATAAGACAAGCAACTCATTAAATTTATTAAAAGTGTATTGTCCATTCAAATCCAACCTAAAAAATTTGATAACAACAAAATATTGAGTTTTGAAAAGAGCTTGAAATGTTGTATATATCTCAAATAATTCAGGACAATATTTTATTAAATAAACCCAACAATAATGAGTATGATCATTGTCATAACCCAATTCTGGATTATTCCCCAATTTTGACCCATATTTTGATGAAGTTTTAGAAAAATCCAAAAAAAAAGAGAAAAAACAATGAAAATCCAAAAAAAAAATATTTGCATTATTTTTAGCATTTTCAGCATCATCTCAAAAGAATTTAAATTTTCAAAGATATTTGGAACACGTTCAACTTTTAACGTGTTATTTTTAAAATCATTGATTTTCCTCATTGAGTCGATGTTGATATTGCTCGCTTTTAAAAAAATACAAAAAAATCAAAAAAATTAAAATTTACTAAAAGTTGAGGGACCAATTTTTCAGGCCGCTGAACACCAGCAGCGAGGAAAGACCATCAACGCCGGCCACCAGTAAAAACCACAACTGATCTCCCCCACCTTCATCACAGCAGCTCTCTCACTCTACTCTCTCAGTGATCCTCCCCTCCCCTCTCTCGACCGACCCAGCCTTCTCCCACTGAAGGACCCAGCGGCTGCCGATAGCAGCAGTGCCCGCAGATCGGCCTCCACAAAAGCCGCTGATCGAACGGCCACTCTGTAGTCGATCTACCATATAGGAAGAAGAAAGGAATGACGGGCAGAAAAATAAATATAAAAGTAGATATAAAACAGAACTAAAATCAATTGGTTGTTGTATTTTCTTGGCTTTGCAGGTAACCTTGCTTCTCACTTCCGGTGCAGAAGGGAAGAGGAGAAGAAAGTCGATCGGATCCACTAGATGCTTGGTTTTGCGTGGAAGGACGCGCTGCCACGACTTCAAGCAGTTCTAGAAGGGACTTCAATGCAATTTCTGGAGTTTTAGGGATTGTTTTGTAATTTAACAATTATGTAATGTAATTGTTTTGAATTTATATTTTGTATTGTGAATATAAAAAAAAAGGGAAAAGAAAAGAAAAGAAAAATAGATTTCAAAAACAAATAAAAAAATTAAAATCAACTACCTGGGTTGTTTTTTGGTTGTTTTGCAAGTCACCTCTGGCGACAGAGAAGAGGAAGAGGTTCCCAGTCCACTGGATTCGGTCACTGTTCACGTGCACTGTTATGGAGTTTTAAGGGGTTATTTTGTAATTTTCAAACTGTTTAATGTAATATTTTTTTAGTTTGAATTTTTATTTGTATTTTTTAAATATAAAAAAAAAGAAAAAAATAAGAAAAAGAAAAAAAAAAGAAAAATACAAGGAAAGTGCATGTGTGTGTTTGTATTTGTCTTATAAATGTTTCTTTTTATTTATGATAAAATTAAAGAGAATAAAGAAGGATTTAATATTTTGATTGGATCACGGTGTAGAAGTACAAACTTGTACGAAAGTTGTATTTCTAAAATCCAATGAAAAGACAAAATTTTTAAAACTTTAACACATCAAGTCCATGAAGCAGCTTACCTCAGGTAGGGTGTGTTAGGGGTGCTAATACCTTCCCTGGTCCCTTACCCGTGAATCTCTGACAAGACTAGCACAACCAGGTTTCCTAGTAACTCTCAATTAAATACTAGGTGGCGACTCCTAACGAATCCAACAAGATCAAATCAAACATAACAGAGAGAAAAATCAAAAAGCCAGTCGACGTCGTGCAGATTGTTTTTTGACGTGCGACAATCATCAACAAAAAAAACATAATATTGAGACCTTTCTTTTATGGCAACAAGAGAATGTCCCCATATATCAAAATGAATTAAATCAATAGAAAAGAAACAAAAATACTTCAATTAAAAAGTAAAGTGAAAAATTTTATCCGTTTACATCTACTATATTTAGAAATATCATAAGTTTGCAAAATTTTTAGAACTCCAGTGGATACCAAAAGTCTCAAATAAGAAGACAAAGCATAACCTAGATGAGAATTGTCGCACGTCCTCCCACGGCGTCCATGATAATTTTCATCGTTTGCTATATTGATTAGAGGTCGTCACCTAGTATTCGATTCAAGGTTACTAGGAAACCCGAGTGTACTGCTTTTTCTTAGAGATTTAAGAGTAAGGGACTGGTTGTGGCTAGGACAAATATTAATACCCTTAGCACACCTTATATGAGGTAAGCTGCTTCATGGTTTTGATAAGTTATAGAAGTTTTAAAGGTTTTGTCTTTTCATCGAATATCAAGAATACGTCTTACATTTAAGCTCATAATCTTTAACTGTGAGCAAATCAAAAAATTAAATTGTTCTTGTCTTTTTGGTTTTATCATAAAAAAATCCAAAATGTCGCACCCTCACGAGAGTGCGGTATCATGGCGACCCTTCCCAAGAGCGAGGATTTGATTTTGCTTTTTTTTTGTGAATAAGAGAATCGCCACCTGATATTATGATTACTAGAAAACCTAACTAGTCTTTCAGAGATTCTAAGGCAAGGGAGTGGTTGTATAAAGGGAAGATTTTAGCACCCCTAGTAGGCCTTACCTAAGGTAAGCTGCTTGGTGCTTGGTTTGCCTTATAATTACTATGGTATTTGTGTTTTATAATTCCTTTAGTTTTCCTGGGATAGGTTTACTATGAAAAAAACTTAGGTTCAAAATCTAAAAGCAAGAACTCTTGGCCAAAATAGGTCATACCTTCAGATATATGTACATAGTGCCAAAACGAAATGATGCAGATCTCTTGAAATCTATGTTTG